GACGCCACTGCTGGGAAATGAGGCCAGATGGGATCAGGACGGCGAGCCGGGGTGGAGCCAAACCTACCCACTAGATCATCCGATCTGGGCGGGGGGAGGAGAGGGACTGAAAGTCCCTTCTTGTCAGCAGCCTCCCAGATTATGCCGGACAGCTCCGAGAGGAGGGCACCGACGGCAGGGAGCAGTGTGGCCGTTGAGGCGGGAAGGCCCGGGGTGGGGGGGGATGAGCATCCGCTCGGCCCCCCTCGTTCCGACACTACGCTCTCCGGGAGGGAGTGAGCAGCGGGGCTGCTGCTGACGTTCTTACCAGTACAAATATCAGCACCAGGCTCCATTCCACCATCATTTGGAGAGAGGGCAGTGGGTGTGGACACACGTTCATTGTTTGGACATCTGCTGGGGGTTTGTCCCTTCGTCTTTGTCTCTTGTAGCTGAGACACAGAAGAGAACAATCATTAGGTGCAGCAGGAAAATATCACTTTACTTTGTTAAACACAGGTTTATTACAGCCTCAGTTCAAGTCAGTGTTCTTCCATTTACCGCTCCAGTTTTCCATCACTGTCTTTGCTGGACTTTGTAGAGTAGAAGATGGACGGGACAAAGTCAGGACTGTCCATGTCTTCAGAGGCCACTCCTGAACAAATAAAGTGTATTCCAGTGACTGACGTTAATGAAAACAGCACACGGTTGGCCAGCGCTAACTGGCATAGCATGTGTTAGCATATAACAAAAGATTAGCAACTCCACTCAGCATCACTGAACCAACATATCTTGGCTTGTAAACGAGGTGCACTCGTATCTGAGTGATCAATTGTTCATATTTTTGTATATAGGATGCAATAAGCAGCGATGCTTGTTAGCTAGGCAGCCCTTACCTGATATGAAGTGCCCGCTGCAGATTTTTGCATTTTTAATCATCTGCTCGTTCCAATCACTTCTTCTGATGGCCTGCAACCAAATACGTCTCCTGTTAGCCTTGAAAGGGGTGCCAGTTTATGGAATTCTGTAAAACTTGCACATTTCATTGTTTTTATCAAAACGGTTGGTGCAACCTACAGCACAACAAGACATGATCGCGGTTTCTTTCTGCGACCGACATGCGCAGTATACCAAGAAGTTAACTGGAAGTGATGTTTACTGCTAATAATATTGTAAAGTTTGTAGATGATACAGCTGTGGTGGGACGCATCACAAACAGTGATGAGTCCAGCTACAGGCAGGAGGTGGAACACCTGGAAAGCTGGTGCAGGAAGAACAACTTTCTCATCAATGTGAAGAAGACGAGGGAGATGATCGTGGATTTCAGAAGGAGCAAACACACCCACCCCCCACCCCTCCCGCATATTGGAGGATCTGCTGTGGAAGTGGTCTCCAGCTACAAGTACTTGTGTGTACACCTGAACAACAACCTCAGCTGGAGCAACAACACCACCAGCCTGGTCAAGAAAGCTAATCAGAGACTCTACTTCCTCAGACGGCTGAGACGAGCTGGTCTGGAAGCTCAGTCCTCAGGTGTGCAGTGGAGAGCATCCTGTGCTCCAGCATCAATGTGTGGCATGGAGGCTGCACAGCTGCAGAAAGAAAAGCTTTGCAGAGAGTGGTGAAGGCTGCACAGAAGATGTTGGAGTCAGTCTCCCCACCATCACAGACATCTACACCTCCAGATGCAGGAAGAGGGCCACCTGCATCATGAAGGACCACACTCATCCAGCACACACACTTTTTGCCCCGCTCCACTCAGGCAATAGGTTGAGGAGCATTAAGTGTAGAACCACTAGACTGAGGAACAGCTTCTACCCTGAGGCTGTTGTTCTATTAATCGATGACGTGAACTCCGCTTGGAACTATTTTCATAATAATTTAATTTATTTTGTGAACAAACATGCTCCTTTTCGTCAGTTCAGAATAAAGGGACGAGACAGCCCCTGGTTTACTCCAGAGCTAGCTGACCTCCTGCACAGGAGAGATCATCTTTGGGCCGCAGCGAGAAAATCTGACTCAGACACTGATTGGTTGAGTTTTCGACAGATGAGGAATAAATGTACAACTTCCATCAAAGCAGCAAAACGTAACTGACACGTGACTAACGTGACATTATTTACACTTTCCTACAAGAACCCTGCAGATGTTGGATGCTGCAGATGTTGGATGCTGCAGATGTTGGATGCTGTCTATCATGGTGCACTAAGATTCATAACTGGCTGTAACTACCGTACCCACCACTGCACCCAGTATTCACTGGTTAACTGGTCACGCAGACTCCCACTGGTACATTTTCATCTTTAAATCACTTCCTGGTCTGCTGCCTTCATACATCTCCTCCTACATGTCTCTGTGTGAGTGCAGCTACAGCGTGCGCTCTCAGGACATTATTACCTGCAGTGTTCCCTCAGTGAGGACTGAACTAGACAAAAGGGCCTTCTCCTACTCCGCTCCTGTTTCCTGGAATACCTTACAAAAAGACCTGAAGCTCTCGACCTTTGACCTCTCTAAGTGGCTTCAAGGATCTTTTGGACTCCTGGCAGGGACCAATGCTGACATGTTCCTGTTTTTAGTTTTCTACATTCGCCTTAGAATCTAGCTGTTTTGCTTTTTTTTCTCCCCCATCTTATTTGTATTAAAAAAAAAATCTGTATGACTTTTTATAACTGTCTATTGTTGTTGCTGTTGTCCATTGTTGTCATCATTCTTTGTTAAATCAGGTCTCTCTTGTAAATGAGTCCTCGCGGCTCAATGGGATTTACCTGTCTAAATAAAGTTGAATGTTAGACTCATGAATCTCTAACCAGGAAAATAACTAAGGAGAAAAAAAATCTCTGTAATGTCGTTTAAATTGGAGATTTGACACTTTGTGCTGCTGATTTTCCATCCTGCTGATTTCTTGCCTTTAAACTGCTGTTTTTTTTTAGTGGTATAAATTTTTTTAGGTATTTTTTCTTTTACAGTTTATTGTTGGATGTAAATTGGACACCGTGTCCATAATTTCGTTCCATCACAGAAACTCTGACTCTGACTCACAGACTGTATTAATACCCTTAGTACCTCTCTGCTCACAACAGACTCTTGTTCAGGCTGCTGTTTAATACACCATATTATTTCACATTATTAGTGTTTAGTGTACATCTTAAATCCTCATAAACTGTTTCTTTTTATACTTTATATGTTTGCTATTTTGGGGTGTTACTGGGACGTTATGTACACAATTGTGTTCCACTTCATGTACCACATGTGATGAGAATGACAATAAAGAACCTTGAACCTTAAGTGCCTGCTGATGGTGCTTGATTCACATAGGCCTGCCACGATAACAAATTTTGCTGAGTGATTAATAGTCTCAGAAATTTTTGCGATAAACTGTAATATTGTTTGAAATTTGACAATAATTAGTAATTGTCAAATTTCAGAAGAATTGTTTAATTTTTTTGCATATACTACATTTTTTCAACCACTGGATGGCAGTACTGTTTAAACCGAAGGATGGATAGTGAGGAAGTGAGCAGCATGTCTCTTTAAGAAAAATGGGAGGGAGGGCCCTTGACGTGACATGGGCTGTCTCTCTTTGGTTCTCAAAATGGCGGATGCTCGGTGTGGTTTGAGCTCTTTAGCATAGCATGTGTCACACAAAGCTTTTAATAAAAATCAGTAAACAAGTTCTCAGTGTCATTTTTCAGACAAAAACAACTTTTTACACAAAGTCACGAGTTTCAACTGTGAATTTTGGAGCTTCAACAAGACGGAGGTTTTTTCCCGAGGTCAGCCTGTTAGCTTAGCTCGTAGCTTAGCTTCTCAGGTTAGCTGCTTTTAACGATCCAAAAACATGATTTTGTACGATTACAATGGACTTTAAAGAGAGTGGGTGGGTGGGTGGGGGGGGGGGGGGTCAGTGAAGAACACCAGAGTTGAGCTTTTTGTCATCCAGTGTCTTCAGTAGAAAGAAAGAGACACGAGGAAACAATAAAGCTGATCAATGAAAATGAGGTAGATAATTTTCATTTATCATGAGATTAATTGGATTTATTGTTTATCATAACAGGCCTAGACTCACGTTGATGTAAAGATGGTAAATGGACTGTACTTATAAAGTGCCTTTATAAGTCTCTACAAAGATCATCTGAATCTGTAGAGACTAATCAGAGCTTTAGATTGCATTCATACACTGATGGGACACACAGAGGCGATGAGACATTCAGTGTCTTGTCCAGGGACACTTCAGTGTAGTGTTCTAAGGGCTGTTTAGGTCGGAGGCCTAGTCCACTACATCTGTATTCAATTCAATTCAAAAATACTTTTTTAATCCCAAAGGGAAATCAAGTGTTGTCATAGCTCATCATCCTGGTTTCATTCAAGAGTTGTTATAGATGCTGATAGCTGTGGGCAGGAAGTACCTCCTGCAGCAAATCTGAAACATCTGGCCACAGGTACTGATCCATCCGCCTGGATCCATCTTGTTGTCAGATCCGGCGGGTCTCTTGGTCCTCCTGGGAAAGGACTGCCCAAATGCCAGGCAGAATTCCTCCCTGAGTGATGGTCACTCCTCCCAGCAGTCTGCAGAGCTCTGAAAAAGGAATAGTTTTCAAAAGCAAGAACTCAATGAAAGTAACGGAGCTGCTCCAACATGCTGCCACACCAAGCGGCACAATTCTAGAACTAGTGTCTAGATATGTGACTGCTGATGGAATTGAACCCCCAACTCTGCCATTGGAGGGCAGCTGCTCTAACCAGTCAACCGCAGCTGCCCCCAAGATATCAGACTGCACTAATCCATGGGATTTTGATGGGAGTCCTGATTTGTAATCTGCATCTGTCAAAACTAGGCAAGTTTGTTCTTAGGAGATATCGGCTGTGATGTTGTTTTAGCTGATTCCATGGTGTCAGCTTGCTACTACTTTATTTATAAAGTCCATTAAAACAACCACAGCTGCAACAAAGTGCAAACAAAGAGCTTTGGTTTTAAATGCTGTGGTGGACTGAAGTGTAACCCTGGGACTGTGTGTGGGCAGGTTTGAGAGCACGGTGCACATCAGTAAGCTGCAGGACCAGGTGAACCGCAGTAAGCTGGCTCGCTGCAGAGGGAGATTCGTCTGTCCGGTCATCCTCTACCACGGAAAGGTATTTATTTTTTCTGGTTACAAGATAAATCTGATCTACTCTGTGTTTTTCAGTTGTCCCTCAGAAGATAGGGACGGTTTAACTCCCTTTTACTAACCTGACCAATAAGAATAGAGCCTGAAATTATGCCTTATGCAATCTTGGCATGTTTATGAGGGAAAATACCCTGCGCGTCTACGTTTAACATTCAGGGTGGAACGTTTAAGATTCCAGCCAAGAAGAAGAAAATCCTGTTAGGTGACCTGTATGGTATTAAAACTCTAACTGTTGTAGGGCTGGACAATAATTCGATGTCTAAATATGTCGTGATATACTTTTATTCAATAACGATGATATGAGTTTAAGCACACTTTCAATATTTCGATAGGATTACAGAGTTTCACCGACACATTTCTTTTTCTGTTCGAGTCGAAGCGGCCGCTTCAGTTTCAACCCGGACAGAAAAAGGTGCGGCACAACTACGTAAGTGTGTGGTGACGTAGATGTTACGCAGAGCTTGGTCCAGAAGACATTAGCTGGTCCAGAAGACATTAGCTGGTCCACAAGACATTAGCTGGTCCACAAGACATTAGCTGGTCCACAAGACATTAGCTGGTCCACAAGACATTAGCTTGGTCCACAAGACATTAGCTGGTCCACAAGACATTAGCTGGTCCAGAAGACATTAGCTTGGTCCAGAAGACATTAGCTGGTCCAGAAGACATTAGCTGGTCCAGAAGACATTAGCTGGTCCAGAAGACATTAGCTGGTCCAGAAGACATTAGCGGTAGCAGGCTAGGCTAACCTCCAACGTGCGTTAAGTTTTCTCTTCAAAATGAGCGTCCATGACCGTCAGAATGTGACTGAACATCTTTCACAAGTGAAGAGAAGCAGAAGACACAAGTGATGAGAGGAAAGACTGATTTAATGGTGTGGACGTGGTTCGTCTTTCTAACATCTGAAGAACTGCAGGTTTCACTGAGTTGCTGCAAAATGTGACGGAGTGGTTTTAACTAGCGGTGAGAACATCCAACTTGTTCCATCTGAGAGTTTCCACTAGACAGAATCTGATGAGAGTCAGAAGATGAGGCAGAATAAAGTTTGAGCCATCGTGTCCCTGAAACCCCCCAGCTGCACCAAGACGCAGCGAACGTCTGCTGCAGGGTTAGGTTATGGGGTTTCAAGTTATAACTATTAATATATGTCGTTATTGATGAGAAGTTGACATGGAAATCTCATGGAAATTACTTTAGAATAAAAATAGCAAAATAAAGTAAAAGAGTTTTTGAATGACAAAGCTTTGTGTATATTGTATAATGTAATGATTGTTCCATATTTAATCTGTTGTAATGAAGTTTGGGGGAAATCATGCAAAACAATTACAAACCCTATTTTTATTTTACAAAAAAGAGCGATAAGAATTATTAGTAGGAAGTGCTGTGGTCGCCCAACAAATATATTATTTCATCATTCATTCAACCTTTATCAATTGAAATTATTAAAATGTTATGAATTGGTTGAAGCAGCACGGTGCACAACTGGTAGAGCTGCTGCCTCTCAGCGAGCAGGTCCCTGGTTCAAACCCCGGTCCAGGGGCCTTCTGGGTGGAGTTTGCATGTTCTCTCCGTGCATGTGTGGGTTTTCTCCAGGTGCTCCAGTTTCCTCCCACAGACCAAAAACATGCATGTTAGACTGATTGGTAACTCTAAATTGTCCCTAGGTGTGAGTGAGAGAGTGAATGGTTGTTTGTCTTGTTTGTCTCTATGTGTCCCTGTGATGGACTGGAGACATGTCCAGGGTGTCCCCCACCCCTCACACAGTGATTGCTGGACATGGACACCAGCGACCCCCGTGACCCAAAATGGAAGAAGCGGGTAAAGATAAAGGATGGATGGATGGATGGATGGATGGATGGATGGATTTGGTTGAATATAGTATTTGCAAGTCATGTATAAAGCTCATAAAAAATTACCCAAACATTCAATTAAAACGTGTTAAAAAAAGAGTCATTATAATCTTAAGGGAAAGTAAATGTTTGTAAAACCTCCAGTTAGAACAAGTGTGAAGGAGCTGTGTTGTAATTCAGGGAACAGGATTATGGAATTGTCTTTATCACCATAAACATTTCTAAAACAATTTATGTGTTTAAAAAGATGATAGTTAAAGTTGTTGGGAAAGTTTGATACCATGTGAAGAATGCCTGATGTTTTTGTTTTCTCTTTGGGGTTCAAGGTTTGGAGTTGTTGTTTGTAGTTCATTTATATTATACAGGTCCTTCTAAAAAAATGAGCATATTGTGATAAAGGTCATTATTTTCCATAATGTAATGATAAAAATGAAACTTTCATATATTTCAGATTCATTGCACACCAACTGAAATATTTCAGGTCTTTAATTGTTTTAATACTGATGATTATGGCATACAGCTCATGAAAACCCAAAATGCCTGTCCCAAAAAATGTGCATATTTCATCCCACCAATGAAAGACAAGTGTTTTTAATACAAAAAACACCAACCTTCAAATAATCATGTTCAGTTATGCACTCAATACTTGGTCAGGAATCCTTTTGCATGAATGACTGCTTCAATGCGGCGTGGCATGGAGGCAATCAGCCTGTGGCACTGCTGAGGTGTTCTGGAGGCCCAGGATGCTTCGATAGCGGCCTTAAGCTCATCCAGAGTGTTGGGTCTTGTTCTCTCAACTTTCTCTTCACAATATCCCACAGGTTCTCTATGGGGTTCAGGTCAGGAGAGTTGGCAGGCCAATTGAGCACAGTAATACCATGGTCAGTAAACCA